CCCATTCCTATACTCGTTTGCATTACAGCCAATATTTTCTAAAAGTTATTGGTGGCTATCCGACCCTCATCGAATCCTTTTATCCTTCTGTGGAAAACCTTACCTATGATGAGCTCGACTCGTTTCCGCCCTCCTTACAGTCATCTTCATATCACAGGTGAGTCAATTCCTTCAATAAACGCCTTTATAAATACGAGTTACTCATTTTCAGGCTGCTCAGTTGGTCCTGCGATGCATTCCCGAGTGACGGTAGCGAGTGTACATCAACGATTAATGCGGACAAATGCCGTCATGGTACTCAGTTTGCTGTGGGATTCTGGCCAGCTGCCAATCGTTCATGTGAAAAGCAAGGACAGTTGGTTCCGTGCCAGGATGCGTGAGTTACATGCTTTTTCGAGGGAATCATCGACTAGAATGGCCCATGGAGTTTGAAATAAGCTCAACTGTAGCCCATATCAAAGGCCAATTGACCAAGGGATCCGATTAGGTGGGGATATGGACGTTAACGTTTCCAGGGGAGGGAATATAAAGAAAACAAGGGAAACCTCTTAAAAACTAGAAAATTTCTGGCGGCTAACCTTCCGATATAGCTAATTTGGTAGTTTTTGAGTCCAGGAGCAAGACAAACAAACACAATCTTCCATCACCGTATTCCTACAGTAACCCTGCCTCCACTCAAAGAAGTCCAGCCCAGTTTAGCTATCCTAACCATACCCCTACCTTAATTATTGTGTAGTGATGCATATTTTCCAGCTATCCCAACAATTACTCCCAGTCAACTCACTCCCAGACCTGATCCACAAGTTGTAAGCGACTATGCCATCGTAGTCGTTGAAGATAAAGGGTATGAAGGAGTCACACCTTCTACCTTCAATGAGATAGCCAGTGAAAAGCCGGTTGTCACCCTTGGCTGAAATACCAACTAAGGCTAATAATAGCTCCGAATCGAGCTATGAACTCTTGTGGCCCGCTTCCAAGAGACCACCAAGAATTAATGCATTCCTATTACTCCTATGCGGAATAACATGCCCGATGATCACACGTCACTCGTCCCGATCCTTTCGGAACCGTAATTGCAGAACTCTTACGAAGACCAGAAGTCACACATTGTGTCAACGAAAGAGCTTGGATTGTTCGGAGGATTAGTCTGGGATACTGAGACCAGCTGGCGTCACATAATAACTCAGGACGGGTGCTACTAGTTCGCCAGGGCTTCGACGTCGTGCCTAATAGGGGTTTTTCAAGTTTTATTTTCTATTTACCACTGTCGCTGTCCAGCAACCAAAGAGCTCTACGTCACGCGCCAATTTGTCATACCAATCACCTTGTCACGCGTGAAATATGGGCGATGTGGGCGAATCCCTTGGGATGTGGGCGGATCTAAAAAAAAACAGGGAGTACGTAGTTGCATAAATGTTTTGCGAATTAAAAATGCGTACTGTAGCACACCGTTACTCCTCTACTCCGTCCCTATCGTCAATTACAGCTGGGCCTTGTTCCTAGGGAACATGGCCATTCCTAACTTTGAGCTCGAGTATAAACCCGTGAAATTCTAACAAATCATCCATGCTTTTTCAGAACTGTGGAGGGAAACGTTTGCCAAAACGCAGTCGTATCAATTTTTAACGCATCCACTGCTCATTTCGTACTAAAAGATGTACAGGTAAGCTTTGAAGAGCCTAGCGATTGGTACCTAACCCAAGGGACACCTCCATTCAGGTCCCTTCTATTATTACGCAGACATTTACCGAGCATCGAGGATCAAATAGCTCTTGCTACTATTCAGCCTTTCCTGTTCTAGGAGACCAACCATTACGACTGTTTCCAACAGGTAGGTAACCGACAGTAAAGTACCGTAGTCATCACTCGTAATCCAATATTTCCAGGTGATCACTGTGGGATCGGACAGAATCTGATCAAGTTTGGAGTCAATACAACTGTACAGTGCATGGCTAGAAGATCGGCCTTTGTAAGGGTTCTTCACGGGTCTCGATTTTTCTTCCGAAAATTCGGTTGCAATTCGTTAAGCTTTCAGGAAGCGGTCGATGGGTGTCCGTCTGACGAGCAGTTGAAAGCATTCCTCACTTCAGAAGTTTCCTACGTATGTAATTGTGGCAAGTGTGACGTCCCTTTAATGAGGTAAGCAGAGAGCATAAGTTTTGTAGACGCTGTAAAAATATAAGCAAAGTATAGGAAATTGACAAAGAGTACATCAACAGCCGAAAAGGATTGGCGGTTCCATTGGTAACGAGAAGGTAACCCCTTGAAAGGTGCATCAGGTAATAGCGGCATGGGTGAGTGCCGAGAGATACGATGGTCAAGCAAGTAATTCTAAAAAAGGAAACGACCAAAAATGTTGAAGATTCAAAAATCCATCAGTGGATCACAGTGGCGAGTTGCCGTCAAACAGGCGATCTACAAACCTAACGTAACACCTCCCACATCTCTTTCCGGGTAAATCGGAGAGATGACTGATCAAACCTAACGTAAGACCTCCCACATCTCTTTCCGGGTAAATCGGAGAGATAACTGGTTTATGTTAGGATTAACCGGATGCAATGATGCCAAAAGTATTTGTGTATATTAGTAAGCTAGCCTATACTAATTTCTTTCATTGCCGAATCCCAGATGCTCAACAGCCCAGACAACCGCGACGCTACCGCGCAGCCTCCCAGTACCGTATCCCTGCTGCCCTTTCGAGTGAAAATCGTCGGGCGTAAAACGTTCGCAGTTCATCTCATATGGAATCGAAAATTACCGCGGTACACTATTTAATGGTCTGCTTCACATGGGAAAGTGTTAGCTTCCTATTGAAAATACGAAAAAACCCTTTTAGCGGAGGACTGAAGAAGTTCGAAATCGCGCTTCTTTGCGTAGCAATTAAACTCGGTTGCTCCGTTTTCCTGCTGTTAAATGTAAAGAACTATTGAAATTTCGGAATCTGCTAGAGGTTGCAGGAAATCTTTTATTGTTTACGGGATAGGCTATCTATTGGAAAGTACAGCCCGATTGAGCGGAATCACAACTTCCAGCTACTGAGAGACGATGCAGCTACAAATAAAAGTCATATAGGGGCTTTCATGTCGACACAGCAGAGTATATATGGGGATTAGAAGGCAATAAGGGGGCTGTTTTTCATCCATCAGACTTTGAAAACAACTCGATTCTGCCGAGGTGCCATATTCTGCAACAGATTATTATGTTATGAAGCAGATTATCTAGCCTCTAAATGTCTTGATGTCGGTTCTGCTAAGCGTGGCGCCTTCAAGATAGCTGGGGACCTTGAGGATAATTCGAGAACCCCACCCCTCTTCAAAATCCCACCCCTTTTTGACTCCGAACAACATGCAAGGCTAGGCTTAGGACCGATCACGTTCAATCAAGATTTAACAGGAATTTTTGCGATGACAGCAAGCTAAAGCATTTTTGTACAGGGCAAAACAAGTCATGCAATTCGATTTGACCAATGTCTGGGAACACTCGTCCGCTCGACGTCTCGGCCAGCGTGGCTCTCCCACATTCGCTTCCCATATGAATTCAATGAGCCCATGACCTCTGCAACCAAGCGTTTTCTTTGCTCGATTTGAAGGCCACCTTACACTCGCCGTCAGTACATTCATTTCATACAAAAAGAATCCTAGGTGAAAATGTAGTTGGGGGGGCACCTATCACAATGTCGGCATATCAAGAAATGAACTCAATGAAACGCGTTATGTCGTGTTATATCACGGACNCAATATTTCATCTCATAGGTTGAACTAATGGGCTCATAACGTTTACTACATATCCTGGGTATCATGACGTTCACCCGAGTATGACGCTCGATGAGTGTCGCAATTGTCGGGACCAATTCCGGAAAGTCCAATAATCATTTCCATAATTGGAATGGGACTCCAGATGATTAGTGTTACCCGATATAGTTGGGATATGAGTCACAGCTCCAGATGGTCGATCAGTTCTGGAATCGTAGACAGAACATGAGGGCTACTTGACAGAGAAATAAAAATGGTGAACAACAAGATCCGATACATGGATTGCACCTTCAGTAGCCGTATTTCGGTTGGTCGTCTGCAGGTTACTGTATAAGCATAGGCCAACACGGCTCCACAAATGATTGATGAAATGATTTCAAAGGGTGAGAGAGTGCACGGCGCATCTTGAAAAGGGGGAATAGGCTCTGACGATGTAATCGCTTATACATGACCATACTAATCGCTAAAATTTTTTACATCGACGGTTTTACGAGTTTGGTCAGACGAACCACGAACCGTGGGCTACTCCGAACCAAAGCAGCGATTGAAGGTTTCCTACTACAAAAAAAANNAAAAAAAACTGCCGTAACACCCGCACCTTATGTATTCTTCATTTAACCATGGGTGAGCCCATGTAACTAGTATGGTAACTGCAATAATTCGTGATAGCAGAAATCCGGAACGAATCATTACTCTGTCGTGTTGTGATAAAGATCAAAGCAAATTCCTCACTCTCCCGGAATCCCGCCATGGGCGACTCTCCCATTTTGTGAGCTTGTTTCTCTCCCTGGCGCTAATCCATCATATGGCGACGACAACAAGAACACGCATTGCGAGTTTGGCCGTTCTTCGTTTCCGGTGCCATATTCTCCTACCTACAGCATCTTCGCTTGATGCCTGATTTCGACAAGATCCATTTCGATCACATCCCGCCACTTCTTCTTTAGCACCCTTGCTACCTCACTTTGGGGACCTTGGGTGGTACTTCCAGTTTACAGACAGACAGACGTACGGAGAGACAAATAGAAACACCTGAGTTGATAGCTTGGTAGGTGGATAAGGCCAAGGATTGGCTTGTGGAAACCTCGTTTACTGCCGCAGCTATTGCATTTCTTCTAGTTTCGAGTACAAGGCTTTTTTTCGATAATGTTCTCTAACGAGTACAAGGTTTTTTTCGAGAATGGGTACAATATCTGCTACGATTTTTTTTTCACGAAGTGAAGGAAACAATCTCTCGATTGCCGACTTTTTTCTATGAAGTGTAGTAGTGGTTTTTCTAGGATAGTTCCATTTATTTAGGCAGCTTCCATCCACTCACGACTACAATACAACATCGTGTGTGGCTATCCATCGAGCTACCATGACTTTCACGTTTCGCAACGGATCCATCAATGGTGGACGGATAAGGTACGGTAATAATCACGAGAGGTATCAACTACAGTAACTACACCTGGCACCGCTGTACGCCTGAAAACCATTGCTCTACGGTTCCAAAGCTACCATATGAGTAATTTTGCAACTATGTAATGTTCTCATAACACTTGCAACGAACGAAGCTGTTTGAATGCTCGGACTGCACTGCAAGCAATCCAGCTGACCGATCCGCAAATGCCCGCATCACATCCACGTATTATGCTTGTCCTTACTCTTTCTGCTAGCTACTGAAAAGTCCAACATAGTCTGGTCTCTGTTATGATCAGACTATTCGGAACCAGGGCCCTTGAGAACTCCAACGGAGACGGCATAAAGAAGAAGCAGATCCCTGAAGAAGGCCCCCCTCCTAGTGTGAGTGAGGCCAGACTCGAGCAAATTTCAGTTCCCAACCACTTAGGATTAACCGTTCTCAACAGTCACGCTTATTTCAGGTACGACTACCGCAACGTTTCGAGCCTGGAGGAGCACTTTCTCTTAACCGTTCGAATACGATTCATCGAATATCGAACTCCATGCCGGAAAACCAGGTAAGTAATAAGCAGAGTATTTATTTCTGCTCTCGAGGGGGGTCAAGAACGAGGATGGAGGGGTTCAGGAACGTAAGTTGAAAAAGAGTGGGTTGAAAGACAAGCCATGTGGGCCTGAATACCTGGATGAGATGAGGACCTGGATGAGCTTTTATATTACCTGAATTCCCGAACACTCATCCCGTTAAGGAAGAGGAAGGCCTGGACAACGAATTCGAGTAAAATTCCAGACTGCAAAGTTCACAAAACGTATAAATATGCTGCGAAATTCGTGGAACTTCTGTAAAACTGAGAATTTCCAGATTCGAGCTACAAAGGGGACGATTCCATTGTCCATCTGATGTGACCTGCTGGCAGGAATTGTGGCTGCCATTGATGGACGTCTCACCATCTACCGTACCTCTGCTAGGATGTGCAGTTATAGTCGTGCTACGTTTCGTTTTCGCCTTAGTGAAACGACGACGAAAACTGTCTGATCCCAGCTGTGACTGCCAATTTGCCTTGTCGCAACTATACGGTCCTTCGAAAGTGTCAAAGAAAATGCAATAAACGTTGAATAAAATACGAACTCGTCAGTTTGCTATGCTATGCTGTAAGCCTTTGAATTGTGCATCGGAGCCCTGTGTAGATAGCGGTTCTAAGGCAGCTCCAATATGAACAGGAAACTTCTGAGTTTTCTCCTAGGTAATTTGTTTGAAAAAATGGCATTAAAAACTGTTGGGTTAGTCTCACACCCAGCTCAGATGGGAGAGTTTAAAATCAAAATAAAGCTTTGGAGTATACAGCATGATGTCACCTACATAACCTTCACCTGGCGCAGCACACCCTTGAAAGACACACTACCAAATACAACGCTCATTCACCGCGAACTCTACCATGTGGTCACGAAATTGAATTAATCCCACTTCGTAGGCTCAAGTCTACCATTCATTTATGTTTCTGAGCTGCCTTCAAATGACCACTGAGATGCCCTTAAAGTTATATCCATATGTGACAATTTTAAGCAGTTGTGGCCCGAATTTTACTCTCCCCATAAGAGGATCGGGTTAGCCAGAGAAGTACAGTCGGCATACGAAAGCTCAGTTCATGAACGGAAGTGACAAAAAGTTGCAAGACCACTGCAAAAACTCGGTTTCCGTCTTGCATTTTCCTTACTGTCTATCCTGCTCATAAAGTCGTGATAGTCACGGCAGAATCAAAAATGAACCGATCGTGGAGGATCCGATTTTCTCATTGTCGATCTATGTGGCCTAAGAATATACCAACCTTGGAACACGTGCATATTAAAAGTGACGTAGCCAACAACTATAATTTGATAGTCAACAGTAACAATAGAGAACTTGGCAAAATTCAAGGTGGCCCACATAAGTAAGCTGTAGGAATGAGCCTTCACCTCATCAAAGCCACCGACTCCATTTCCACCATTCTAGTTATGCGAAATTCCATGCATAGAGACGTCGCTGTACGAACTTGAGTTGGAGCAGTCAACACATTCTTGCGTCCTCACCTGCATTGCTCGTCAAGATAGGTACACATCAGTCAATTCTATTTCGAAACAACTATTCACAAACTGTTGGCCCTGAGGTTCCCCTCTTCCAGAGTTGAGCAACAATATCCTTTCCCTTGGTTCACCCTCGATTCTGAACGGACTCAAACAACTCCCCATCGTTTGCCAACTTCAGTCCTTGGAGTTGGAGACTCAGTACATAATGAACCCGCTCCCTTGAAGTCCATTTCAACCGAACCTGCTTACTTACATTTCGTAGTAGGACTAAGAGAAAAAGAGGGAATTAGAACTAAAAGGCTTGCTCTATAAACATGAAACACATCACAGGATCGAAATGAGCTGAGCACAAAAAAAATGAAAAAAAAATCAGCAAAATAATCATCATGGGACGGAAAATAGTGGATAGATTCGAGAAGATATCGACTGCCAAGCCAGCAACCAATCAATGTATNGAGGGTATTAGAACTAAAAGGCTTGCTCTATAAACATGAAACACATCACAGGATCGAAATGAGCTGAGCACAAAGAAAAATGAAAAAAAATCAGCAAAATAATCATCATGGGACGGAAAATAGTGGATAGATTCGAGAAGATATCGACTGCCAAGCCAGCAACCAATCAATGTATCGATAGAAATGAGACCTGCCGACGGAGTGAATTGACGGTGGATCAAAATCGACTTCAAGATGAGCTCGCCTGTACTGATCTACGATCAAATATTGCCAAACCCATTATTTACTTTTATGCATCTTTTCTGAACAACAGAACCAACTTCTGAGCTCAACTAGGATACGCCGTTGATTGGTTTGATAGTCAACTTGGATATTCTAAGCTAACTAAATGCAATAACAACTTATGAACATGTTGTTTGGGTAAGGAAGAATGGAACGCGAGAAAAGCCCGAGCACACGTTTTTTACGGACAACTCGTCCATGTAGAAAGTGTGATAGCCGCTTTAATGATTAAGCCATACCAAAATACTGAATGTCTGCTATTTCCTCGAATCGAATTCAGACACCAATAAGTACTCACGCCTATTTATGGCTGGAGATCATCTAATGCTCTAAAAAGGCGAAGCTCTCGAATTAACTCCATCTAACTTCACTAAATCAATTCCATCCGACTCAAAAATGGATCGAGGTAGAAGTGGATCAGAAGTAAACCGCGAGTAGAACCGAATTTACGGATCAGAAGTAAACCGCGAGTAGAACCGAATTTACATGTGTCAGACACTTTTAGTTGAGAGACTTCTACGACAGATGCGACCTCTCTTAACAACTGTCAAACAGTCACATCCCACCTGAACGAATATTCAACACGTACCAAAAAGCCTTCCTATGTGTTCGTTTCTACTTTGCACAAGAGAAATTCTTACCACGCCTAAGTCGAAGGATTGCTGGCTGCGATGTGATCAAGTCATATCCTTCTTAAAAATTAGAATCAATTACAATCTCGAGATATACTGAATGACCGTTTACTCGACGTCTCAGGATTTCTCTATTGCCTCTTGCACTTCAAGGAAAAAAAAGCGACCAAGTGCAGTTCTCCTACTGACATGGGGTCATTGTTATTACCAAAATCTTCGACAACACCATTCTTTAGTTTATACGTCGACCTTTATGATCAATTCTGGAATCACGCTATCTTCCCACTATACTGAGTGAACCGCTTGCATTTCGAGCGCAAAGGAAAAAAACTAAAAAATCAAAAAAAAAAAGAACCGAAGTCGAGTATGTTCGAGACAAACTTCATCTTTCCCGATCCCAAACGCTCATGTCTAGTTGAATTCGATCGCGACCCGCTCGTCGTCGCGTCGCGCGATTCGGATCAATACACGACCTTTTTTCTGCCTGTATTCGACGCCCTAACATCCATTTATACTTGGCGAATTTGTAGCCGGCTTGTTCAGGCAAAGCTGTCGTACCGAAAGCAACGGAAACCCAGTTTTCGTTGCCAAACGATACAACCGGCACAATTCAATGATTTTCGCCCTCATTACGTCCAAGTATGGCGACCCGCGAGCAAGTTAATTATCCTAGTATGAACGGACCATGTCCACTTTCAACAGTTTACTTTTCATGACGTCATTTATTAACATCTTGTATAATAACACGAATGACTAACAGTATAATCACATTCTTCGCAGCAATACCTACTTATAGTAATTTTCTTTGAAAAGTTTCAGAGACGCACAAAAAAAAAACGCGCAACAAATTAGAAAATATCGGGTAGAGGGCAAACGTAGGGAGAGACGCGGCGGAGCATCACACATGTGTGAGAGAAAGAGAGAAACAGACACAAAAATCGATTATTGATTATCCAATTATATGATACACATACATATAGCAACATATACATATTTTCAAAGATAACTATTACATATGTAAAACACGAAACATGACATATTCGATGATAAGGAAAAGGAGAAAGAAACGAAAGAAACAATAAGTACAGGATGATGATGATGACGGTGATGATGATGACAATGATTATGCGGATAATCTGATAAAAGAGCAACTTCGACGATGTGGCACCTACGCTACAGTGGATCCCACTACGGAGCAGCACAAGTGCTGGTTGGTCGCCAAGCAGGACACCTGCTCCACTCGTTTTCATGCATGAATGTATTATAGATTGGCACAGAGCGAGTTTTGAACTTTACTGAAGAGCAAACTCCGCCCACTTAAAGGTGGGCGTGGCATGCTCACAGGCGATCAATGCCAAGTCAAAGAGAGAGAGAGATCACTAGAGGTGGCTTGGAAAAGAGGGTGAACGACATTAGGAAATCGAGATATCCAAATGGGCGAGTAGTACTCCATAATAATGGACGACGGACAAATCAACATCAGTTCACGGGCGATTACGGTAGCGATCGGAACCAAAGTGTATGTATACAACAGATACGAGACGACTGTACGCTGCGGACACGCTACGAGGCAATCTAGTAGACCCGGTTTCACGTTACCTACTACCGTACACAAATTCAAGAGAGCTATTGGAACTACTTCAGACGAATCCTTAACAACATGTACTAGCATCACCGGAAGTACGAAGACGACAGAAGTGTGCAGTTTGCAGAATTTACGGTAGACGACAGTAATGATGGATGCAGATACTGTAGGGGATATCTAGATGGACGACGGTTTTACTAAGACAAGTTGGCGATGAAAGACAGAACTGTGTCGGCTTCAGCTTTTGGCATGGCTGGACGCTCACAGCTGCTCATCGCCGCTGGCAGGCGTCAGCTCGTTTGGCGATGTTCGCACGATCACTGGCGGCGGGTTCTTTGGCATTACTGTTTCTTCTTCTAGCGTATTCTGCGAGCTGACGTCCGGGCTTGACTTTCGAATGCCGAACCACCGGGCAAACTTCTCCAGACGACCTTCCTTAAACAGAAGCAATGATTTGCGAAGTATGGGGAGGTATTTAACTGTCTGGCAGCAAGGCACCCGCTTACCACGAAAATCGGAACTCGGAACATGAAAAAGCCGTTAATCAAACGCCCAGAACGCTCACCTTCAATACATCCATATCAGACAGTGTATGCCGCCGTGTAGGATCTCGAGGTGTGGGTCGATTTCGCAGCCGAATTTTCTGTTGACAACGCGCTTCCGGAAGCACCCCCAGAACTTGAGGACGTTGACGTGGTGACGCCGATGCGTTTCGTGCACATGGACTCGGATCGCTGAAACTGAGAAGGGGATGAAAAGACGGTATGCAATCGGAGACTAAACGGCCGAATGTTCAATACTTACCTTGAGGCGTAGTCCGACGACGAGGCAGCGCATGCAACCGCAAGGGGAGCCGTTAGCGGAGCAGAGCTTGTCGTCGAGTAGTCAGAAGTGCACGACAGCGCGTCGGTCATGTCCTTGGTTGGGGAACACGTCTTAAATATTTCATAAAGGAGACGAATTTCAAGCAAAGAAAATTCAAGCCCTCTACAGCAATGTAATCAGCACAGAAGGAGGAATTCGAAGAAAAAGGCCCAACTGGTCCGGAAGCAATGAGAGAACCGACAGCTCCTCACTTTGAAACTAAAATTAGCAGCTTCCTGAGCCTTACCCACAAGGAATCTGGTAATCTTACGGTACCCAAAGAAGCCCCAGCCGAGGTAGGAAGACATGAAGGATAGTGCGCTGGTATATTATATATTATACATCCCTGCTTTAACCCGAATTTACCACAAACCTTTGGCGCTGGTTCCGACTGAGTGCTCGATGGTGGCTCGGAGACCACTGCCGATGTGTCTGGTGCAGATATGTGAGTAGTATTGGTTATATGTGACGTTGGGAATGTCAACGACAACGGATCCATCCAGTTCTGACGCCGCTGCATCTTCCGAATTTTTTCCCGAGTCTCTTCGCTGAGTACCTAAAAAACTACAGTATTATCAATGCAGTCGTCAAATCGAGTGTTTCGTGTGTAACGTCGGTCAGCTGGCAGAACGCTCGGAAATACGCTGGCAGATATTAGGGTAAACGAACATACACACCTCTAAAGCTGGACTATTGGCTATATTCAAATGATGGGTATGATTCGCTAATGCATCCATTCCACTTGCATCATCTGCAGCAGCTGCCGAGCCGGCTATGAAGATCCGCCGAGCAGAGTAGATGTCCTTAAACCGTCGAATTAGTCAGAATAGGGCAGAAGTCAAGGTGGTTGAACCGACCTGCTGCCGTTTACGTCGTGCCTGAGCCTCTCCTGCATCGGACGAAGTGCTAGCGCCGGGGTCCGTTCTACTCGTGTCCGGAATGCTTCCAAGGCTCGATTCCACTGATGGGCTCTGTTCGAGCGCGCTGGGCGGTGCTGTCGCCAGAGGTGACACCAACTGGCGAGACATTATTTCCGCATCGATATCTCGCTCCTGAACCGGGCAGTAGTGAATCAGATTTTGCCAAAAGCAGTTATATAAGCGTTCAAACTCTGTTTACCTGATAATTTCCACAAAACGCACTCTCGACGCCCGTGTGTTGAGAAGGAGAGTGGGATGCTGGTGGTAACGAAGGTGATGAATAGTGGACAGCATTGGTAGTTGAAGCGCCACCGGGTCGCGGATTCATGGCAGCCGGCGCGGTCGATTCGATTTTCAACTTCGATTTCGACTTATCTCGCCGGGAGTTACGCCGTAGAATGTTTTTGATCTGCAATTATAACTTCAAAATTGAAAGGTGAATTACAGACGACTTTAAGGGTGCCGCACCTTGCCTGCCTTCCCCTCATTCATCATCGCCGCAGCTTGTTCCTCGTTTGCTTTTCGAATCAGGTTATGCATATCATTGAAGGAAGCTGCCGAAACGCCAGAAGGCACTCCGACACCGTATTGGGGCGCCTCAACCGCTGATGTTCCTGAAAGACTCGCATTTTATGACGCTGACCGAGCCTTTTTGTTAGAGTTTCAATTGTCTAGTCGGCGTTGGAACACTATGAGTTAAGGCTAAGGACCTCTGGCAAAAACCAGCCACTAAGGAGAGCGCTATGGAGGGGCAAAAGACACGCTCCTGATTGGTTGGACACCGTGACCTACCGCAAGTACTGTACCCACGAGTATATCCTCACACATGGAATGGCTCCCTTTGAAATTTTTATGAATCAATGTATCTTAACATATACTAGTAACTACAGCCCACCTAAATTTTTCTACTCCAAAAGTCGACCACTAAAAAATCTTACCAGTTTCTGATGGATGTTGTTCCGGAACACTATCGTCCGCTGTCGAGTTGTCATCGAACATCCATTCATGCTTAAATTAATTAAAATTACTTTGTTGACCCATACTTTTCTACTGATGAATGTAAACAAACAAGAAGACCAAGTAAGAGTTAGTATTATTTGTTAATGATTGGACCCCAGAATGGGAAACCCATTCCTACTTGCCGTTTCCCGAAGGAATGAGCATCGCTCTTCTCAAAAAACATGTAATTTCCTTAGAAGGAGAACAATTGAGAAATGGAAAACTTATCAGGGCTACGGTAGGAAAGATAGAAATGACACAGTGCGATGTCGCGGTAGGATTGATAGAAAATCGGTGTGACGTCATGAATTCATTTCCCAAAGGTTTCGGATTCACGAGCACCTCACCGTCCCCGAATCGACACTCAATTAAGATAAAATAAATCGACTTGAAAAATTACCCGGGTCTTCCCGAATAGGCGAGATTTTGGAAATGATTACAGTTTCCTCAGATAAATTCACACAAAATAAAATTCCTACAGAAAAGAGAAAAAAAATATTGCATCACTTACATAGTGAATTAACGTTTCGATAATCTTGCACTGATCACTCATGTGCGTTACCATTGTCGCCATGTTGTCGTCCGATGGTCGAACTATCGACGGACCAAACATGAGCGCCAAATTTCGAGTTTCCATCTAGAAAATCAATAATCGATTAGTATGCTGTGGCAATGGAAAGACGAGTCACAAAGATGTTGTAAAAAGATATTTTTGATATATTGTTGCCTCCTACAAACGACGAGTACTCTCACCTACAAGTCTTTTGTCGACAATTCTTTTTTACAAAATAACATTCTGCTATTCCGCCACATTTTTCCAAAAACAACTTCACTTCAGAGAAATACCCGAGTTCGAAGTCTCACCTTATTCACTTCACTATTTTTGGTAATTTCGGCTAAGTGAAAGATCAGATATCGTAATGTGGCATAATGATGTCGTGGTAGCTTTCGCAACTGAAAACATTCATGATTGAGCAAATCAATATATTGGAAATCAATGCAGATTGATAAAACGGGAAACACTCACTAAATTTCTCAGTTTATGCAGCCGATTATGATGATTCGCTATCCGATTTGCGTCAATAAAAAACGGGTAGAGTTTATCGGTAAGAAGGGGCTCTGGTAACTTTCGTAGAAACATCTTCAAGAAACTCGACACCACATTCACGTCACGCCATCGCGGATCGCTTAGGTCCAACTGAAAAAAAAAACGTTTTGGGGTAGCAGCTGATGAGTTCAGGAAGGGTCTCTATAACAAAACAGAACTTCGGGGCCACTTCCTTCCATCACCCAAAAATCCAGACCATAAAATTATTCTCTCAAAAGACCCCATGTCAATGAAATCTCCCGATCTCTACAAGTTTTTGAGAGAAGCACAAATTGCAAAGAACAATAAACGGGTCGCGGGACACAAACAAATGCAAAAAATCAATAACAATCGATAAAGCTTCAGAGATGAAAGATTAACTAACGTTTTCTAACGTCATCGTATCTAGACCATGACTAAACATTTCCTTTAGTGCATTTACTGCTGCTGTGTTGCCAGGTATACGGTAGATGCCTACCGTATCCAAACCGTGCGCCTCGACGACACTTACGCAAATTTGCACACACAGAGGCACGAGCTGTAATTGAGGTTAATTTCACAGTGCAATGAAAATAGCTTTCATGGAAAAAAAACGAAGTTTAAGCCTTTAGAAAATTTAAATGACCGTTACACAAAAATAATTTCCAATGAACTGTTGCCAAAGAGAAGACTCACATCATCAGGACCCGTTGTTGGACAGTCGGCCAGACGGACACCGAGCACATTTTGTGTCGGCGAAACCGACGTGGTCCCGGAGACACTGCTGACACTGACGCCACTTGGCGGACCTCCTACACCACTACTTGTACTTCCTGCAGTGCCCCCACTGCCCTGCTTGATGGCCTTCGTCTTCTTCCATTTACGGCCTGATTTTGGCGTTGACGGCTCTGAAGTTAACTATTTGAGTCTTTTGCAAGCAGTACGATACTGATGGTTTAGTACCTCCGTTCTCCCCCGAACTGCTGTCCTTACTCGTTCCAGGCTGTGCACAGTGGACATCGTTAGCCATTGAGCGCTTCGACGACACCGGTGACTGCAGTTGCGACGATTTCGCCTTATACCTGAAGTAAACATAAAGTAATCAGTTTTGAGGGTATTTCTTACTGTTGAACGTTCATAAGGCTTTACTTACCTGTGCATAATCAGCTGGTTGGTGGCCGAAGTTGTGTGTCCATTGCGTTCGGATGGCGTGGAGGAGGACGAGGCCAGCGAAGCGGCCTGAAAACCCGTCAGTGAATAAGAGCCGAATTGGTTCAATTAAGGGAGGGAAACGGGGACGTTGAAGAGGGTCACACACACACGAAGAGAGAAGGAGAGCGTCAGAAGTAAATACGATGAATGAACAGGACTAAGAGCAAAATAAAACAGAGGAAAAGCAGATTGTGGCCAGTTGCCAACTACATAACATCATCAGCAACGAAATCGATGCATAATCGTGTTGGTTAGACGAGGAAAAGGGAGGTGGTCGTGTGGATGGCTCGGCTCGGCTGGCTGGATGGGTGGTTGCACACGCGCCCCCACAATTTCGCCCTTCTACCGGCGGCAGTGGCGGGTGGGTCGAGGGAGGACACCGACCGACGTCGAATTAATGCATGAGGTGCGCAACGAAGTGGTCTACACACCGGCCGGTGGGGGTTAACAATAGGTCCATGGATAATGATGATGATCGACGACAGCACCGCCGCGTGGGGATAAATAATCGCACGTGTGCATCAACAAACATGCACCAAAGTGCAAACTGTTATGAAAGAGGCGAATTAGTTCGCGGAACTGACAAGCCGCCAAACGTTTGACGCCATTAAAAAACTATCAGGAAACGAACACTATATCAAAGGTCTAATTGTTTTTTTACACAACTTCTACCAGGTATAAACATCCCACAAAATCTCTCACTTCTCTAAACAGGGAAATCTTCGGATGATAACGCACTGGGCTCATGGGTGAAAATATAGAGCCTCCATGAAACAGAAAATTTCTCAAGGGCCACAAGACTGGAAAACACGTCAACCCTTGGGAAAAAGTGGAAAGCCATCGAACGAGGAGGCCCTCAAACCCTGTTAGATTTAAGAGCCTCGATGTTTTGATGCTTTCCATTCCTTGTCTAATCGTCCGAGTAGAACTTGGCGACCGTACTCTTCTGGAGGTCATTTCGAGAGGACCAAGGTTAGTCTTGATCATCCTTCTTTAGAAATGCAATCACTTATTCGTCTTCCAAGTACAATATACCCTTACTGAACCCGTTGGCATTTGCATGGGGAAGCCTTACTGACTTCCGGAGCAAACCAGTGTACTCTTCGCTTCGATAGCAACTGTTACAGCAGAATCAGTCAACCCTGGAAGAATGGAAAACTCACCGGCACTACGCCAGCAATGTGAAATTGGACCAAATCGCACTTCCCCATCAATGGGTGGTGGTGATGGCAACTCATCAGAGGCTAGGCAACCAGGGACAGCTAAGCCGATCCCTATTCTCTTGATGAAGAACATCAATACCCAACTGAGGATGAAGATAGTTTGTGATGAGCAGGCATTTGGATTGAACTCAACAAGGGAAACAGGAAAAATCACAATTCGTTTGGTTGGAGCTGGCATCAGAACCACATCATGCCGACCGTTGATCAAACAACTTTTTGCCAACGATCACCCCGTCGATTCATCCAATGATGACGTTAAGTCGATAGGCAAATCAAGGTCGAACGATCGAAGGGCCACTCTCAAAATAGCTATGGTCTATTGGGTAAAGCAGAAAGCAGATTTTATAAATTTTTTCTCACGAATCAATTGGGAAGTTGAAGAAAAGCAGCTGCAAATCGTTCAGATTACGGTTCGTCAACTTCAAACAGTCACTCCCAACATCTTCATGATACCTCACCTACTTCGGCAATATTGAGTCCAACTTTTTAATTGTGAAGAATAATCGCAAAAGATCGAAAAAAAGCTATTCAGAATAACGACTGGCCTTATAGGGTAACTGTATGGCCCATATTCACAATTCAAATGATACAGATTATGAATTGATGTTGAATGCTTGGCGTATTCGATAGGACTGACAAGCCAAGCAGTTTAATATCTATGACTATTTTATGATGACATTCATCCCAATTTTATTGCCGTATTTTCAAACTTATCGATTAATCTTCAATTTCGAATAATATGAGCGTTCACTTCATCACATTAATACAGAGGCCAATCTCGAGTCTTTTAGGTTAGACGTTTTATATGACATTAGGTCCGACAGTTTGAATATAAATCCAACGCGGGACGTACTGTTATTTGTAAACATAAGTGAATAATAGGCATGAACAGTGAATTCAACTGCTTAATTCATTGAAATCAGAATTCGAAAAGCCAGTTATCAAGAGTCCTATCAGGATATCGTCATCGGATTTTGCTATTTGCATAATAGGACCTTACTCAATGTGATGTCATATCCTATTTTATATTCAATCTTATTTTATATCCAATTATAGCACATTACCATAAGCGCACAAAATCCGTCTCCGAGAATTTATAACATCTCATTTCCAACTGGATGTCAATAATGGATGTGGGCAGAAGAGCTTTAAAAGTAGTTTACGGTACAATAACTTTGTTGTTCTAGGAAATAGCGAAGCTTCAAAGCAAAACTCAAAAAAAANAAAAAAAAAAGAATCAAAAGGACAAGAAAATTTGTAACAATCCACTGTAATAAGGTCATCGGTTCTATTCTTTCGGTTTTGAAAGGCTTTAAAACGTAAATAAGAAAGCTTGTAAACAAAAGTTTGTTTATTATAGGATGGAAAGCCAGAAAAGCCTTGGAAATATTGAAATTACACTTATCATAGCAAAAATTTAATCCCTCATCAAAACAGCCCAGCTTTGGAACCTTATAAGAAAGGAATGGATAGAGGAGCTTAATTTGTAAACAATCCGTAAGCAATAGTATTCTAACTAGTAAATAATAATTTTGTTGGTAAATACAGTAGCTAATGAAGATAACTGCAGTGGGAAGGCCGATGGCAAAAGCATTCATTCGATCGTGAATGTATCGCTCCGCAACGACCAACCACTTGGGCAACAGGTGATAGCCTCACCTTGGAACGGGAAATTTTCGAGAGTTCTTCAAACCCTCCCACTTCTCTACCCCTCTCCCTCCACCCATTCCTCGCAAACGTTCTTTGTCAAGGAACAAGTTCAGCATTCGGGAGTTTCACGAAAAAACTAAGATTGCAACAGGTTTTGAAAAAAATTGACGAACTTCTAAAGCTTTTATCGGGAGACGGTGATCCTTCTATGGCTCTTTGAAGGGAAGATAATTACTGCAAACCCTGAAGACGGGGAATTTAAAAAGTTTTCAGGAAGCAGTTAGACGAGGGAAAGAGTTTTTCATTCCTACTCAAGAGGAGTGATGCTCGGACAAGGAAAACAACCATAACGTCGAGGAACCGGATTCATTTTGATTGGGGGAAACACCAATTTCGTGTGTAATGTGTAAAACTGCGTGGAAAACGATCCCTACAACAAAGGAGGGTGTAGGAAGAGTATGGGGTAAGTGAAAGAGAAGCAAATGCATGTCAAAGAAAGTTACCCACGACAAAACACCTCGCTTCTTGTGCCCTGTCTGGCAACTCATATGGGAAGAACCACATGTCTGATGGACATCGAAGACGCAAAAGGAACTCGGAAGAGCTCACCAGAGCTCAAGACAAGGTGGAACTTGATACAGCAGTTCTGGGAAGGCCATCAGTGACAGTCATACCACCGGGTGTGACGGTGCGATAATTTCAGACGCATCTGCATAATTTACTACGGGAGAAGTGCTAAAAGTCAGTTTTAGCCGGTGCACAGCAGCTATAAAAATGGTAATGGAGGACCTATACCAACGGCTGGCGGTCGATGATCGATAACAGTAGGCCTTATAGAAGTGATTTCATGGCTGTAATTTACAGTATGTACTATGACGGAGTTGAACACAAAAGGGTAGGTTGGCCCATTCCCATCCTCAAAATGACTGCTTTCTCAAGAATGAGCGGCAATACAGCTCAATGACCCTGTAGGTCGAGCCGTGCATCAGAACGACCTCCGCTAAGCCGACCAGAAAGTCAGCAACCGCATTTCACGTCGTCTGCCAACCTTCACAAGAAATACTTTGTAGTAGCTGTAGCTGTAGCTTAATTAGTAAATGCTAAACTCGAATCCGAGCTGACCGCGAGCACCTTGTCCTAGCGATTCCTCCTCTTTCCAGGAAAATCGCTAATCAAACCATCTCAACCAACTAAGGCGTTCTAACGGCTAATCGTACCATCGTAATGGTGATGGAGCTGGTTCTTTGACCAAAAATCACATCCATTAAACCCAAATAACACGGCAATTCATACCGGTTCCAGCGACCACTTTGCGCAGGCAGCGCTTAAGGCCTCCTCAAGATTTCTAGCACTTAGAAGACATGGCCAAATCCGGCTATGTCCAAATGAAGTCTGAAGTGACCTCCCACGGAACGGCTCCGTCGAGAGGCAATTACTATGGGCCATAAATCGTTAACGTTCCATTGCCACAGCATCGTTTTATGGATGGAATTGGTAGTTTGGATTTTCCCAAAAGTACTTGACATTCAAGCGTGGTCCCACTTAGGAATTTTGGGAAAGCAACTTGCCGCACTACCCAAAGAGGAAGTTTGGATGTCAGTAGACTAGACCCGTATGAGAGGATACCTGGAAATCAATTTCAAGAGAGAAAGATTTTCTTCGAATAGTAGCGGTAGTTCATGAGGGTGTGTCAAGACCTCAGGAAAAGTCCACTTGAAATTATAGGATCTCTTAAAACTGAGCACCATTCCCAACCAGCTGCATCATCCCAGTCCGGCCCAATAGGGGGGTGGCCAGCCAGGCCGTATCAGGCCACCGCTGACAGCCAACCAGCCGCATGTCATCATCATCCACTTCAAGTGGCCAACAATGAAACCCACTTGAGTTTCGTGGGGGCGCTCAGAGCGTGTCCCCACCATCAATTTCTTGTCGTACATTCGACGACAATCACAGATAGAATCACCTAATTTACGTCTGCTAACGGGATCGTTAATGTTACAAAGTATGGCCAGGGTTACGAATTATCACTGACTGTACGAAGAAATGAGAATTCAGGGCTTCGATTTTGAGCGGACTCAGAAGAGACACTAGCTAGTCGGAATCTTGGACTCCCATGAAGAGGCACCATTATCGAATGGGCCTAGGCCCATCACGCCGATTTTGGGGTCATCACTCCAAAGATAGTCAAAGAATGAGAGAAATATGTGAGATGCTTACGAGATGAGCTTTTTACATGTTGCTTTTTTGAAAATAAAAAAGCACAAAAGAGATAAGTCAACAGCTCCAGCAAGAAGGCCGTCGCCATGACCCCGGTGTCATAACGAGATCCGCGGGGCGCACGACTACATAGACACACACACACAAATGCCTGATTCAATACGAGGACGAAGAGCGAGATTCGGGCGGGGCTTGTTTATTCATACTCTGCTCGCGCAACTGCCTCAATCACGCCATGTATTTGGACTCAGCGAATCGGTCCCACCCCACCACGTCCCATTCAAGACAATCGTCATAGTATTTCCGGTCCCGGAACATGGGTATGTGCGTGTGTGTGACGACAACGGAAGACTGTTCGCATTTGGTTGTTTGTGACAGCTGCAGACTGCTGCGTAGGCGGAAGCGTGGGGAGGCGTTGAGCAGCATAGTTCACGAGTTCAAGTCCAGGATGGCCCCAGAACCATCAGTTGCCAGAGCAAGTGAGGATGAAAAGGCATGACCACTTGAGAAAAGTCTTGCAATAAAGATGCGCCATGTCGCTGACAATCTTGACTTGACTTTTCTCCAACGACAAATCGGTGAACAGCTCATGCACTCGGACCAGAGCTTCCGGGATAAACTTCTCACAGTCTCAGGAATGCCATTAGGTTCGCGACACCCCGTAGGCGTGGTCTTACGTGCCAAGGACGTCCACGGTCATTACGCGCGATCGTCGCGCAATCATTAGCGCTTACGCATGCTGTGCGCATCGGGCGTACGTAACTTGCCGTAATAGATGTGTGAGGTCGTCGTCAGCAACGGCCAAAAGCGCTACGGAATAACTGCGAACAAAAATCGTAGCGAAATAATTGCGCTACGACATGGCACTTTACGACCGTCGTAGAAAACTCGTCCTAATTGATCAATGATCAAAAAATCCGCCTATGGAGGGGTCTTTACAATCACATACCAGGTCAAGACTGAGCCTAAGTGCTCCTGCGATTGGAATGCTAGGAAAAATCGATCGATCGATCTGAATTATCTTCGATGCTTGTTAAGTACAGCTTCGAAACCACCACAGTCTGTTTCCCGTAGTCAAGTATTACATTTAATGCTGCCGTTGAATCGAAGATATTGCCTTGGAGACCTGAATTCTACGAGAAACCCGACAACTGCGAAAATCCACTGATGTACTTAACAACTGTGGGAATCATTGCGAAAATGCAACAATCAAGTTTTTTCCCTCAGCCAGCAATCGATTATCGATTTTTCGCTATGCATTCAGACGGCGTTTCAGAGAACGAGAAATGAATTTCCATTAAAACAGCCTCAGACACTTTCTTCAGCTTGAGTTTGAAATTTCGAAGAGATCTTTGTTTAGTCAAAATCAAATAAACACCAAAAAGGATAAGCATTGTGACGCAAAAATCGAAGGTAACGATGTTTTGGTTGAAAAAAGTCATAAACAAAACATCAACAAGGGAAGATTTCCAAAGTGTTTGAAGAAAACAGATTGGGTAAGGCAGTTGGGAGGTGTGGAAAAGGAGCGGTTTGACAAGGTGCAAGGTGGTACTGTTTGAAGAGGACAAGTGGGGAGAGGGTGTTGAAGAATTTGTGAGTGGGGAAAAAC